CCTTTGTTCCCCTTACCTTGGAAGGATTTGAAGTCAATCCAGAAACTGATGAGACTCTTGGACCAGTGGAATCACCATTTCCTTCCATGATCTTCAAAGAGAACTTTACTCAGTTCCTCAGTTACCAGGCCTGGAACAAGATGGGGCAAGCCTTTCAATTGTTTCCATATGATGCAGAGGAAAAAGTTCTTCCATCAGAGGCTAAATATTTCGGTATGCACATGCACTGACTGAGAGTATTATGTCTAACATTGCATTATATATTTGGACGTTCTTGTTCTCTTATTCGTAGATAATATTAATGATTAAATATGGCCCCATTCAGACATCAGTTTTTATGCAATTTTTTATATTTGAAGTGTAGTGAGCATATTGAATAGAATTATGGCATCAACAAAATTGTGATTCTTAATAAGATTGATGTACAGCAAAACAATCCAGTAAAAATAGTGTGCATTAAATATATATATGTATGTATACAAAGATTCTGATACATTTCTGCATATTACATTGAATTGAATTGTCAATCTGTACTTCTATCCTACAGGATCTGGATTTGGATTTCGTCCGGTAGGAAAAGGGTGGGGAGGAGCTGGGAAGGAGTTCAGTGAGGCACTGGGAGGAAACTTAGCTAGAGAACAGTTTACCAGTATGTTTTAGCAGACTCTCTCTACTTAACATTGTAAAGAACCATTTTTTTCCAGTGTTTTTGCTAAAAGGTCAAAATTTTTAATCAATTTTGAATTTAAGGAGAGATCATTGATCATGTTGATATTTAGGTCTTTCAAGCTATTGCTACATGTATTTATTCTAGTCTCTCGATGTGTATACTCCTCTGAATTGACTGAGACACTTTCGATAAACAATATATTGCATCTATGGATGGGGAGAACAAAAATTTGCAATTTCATGTCTGTCCTTTTCCCCATACATTAAAAATGTTTTATATTCCTCTATTCTTCAGCAGCTAACTGACAAATTAAACTCTAGGAGTCGTGATTATGAGTAAAATCCTCTACTAAAACTGTCAAATTTATACATTTGGCATGTACTGTTCTATATGGTGGAAATTGTGTTTTTTAGCAAGTATCGTAGATTTGATTTAGTGCTTGCCTGACGTGGTTGATATAATTGTATACACGTATATAGAAGACATTTAGCGAAAGCTGCTTTCAGAAAAAGGTGCACAGCCAAATGTAATATGTATACAGTATCATCATGGGTCCAGACCATCCTCTAACCCTAAAATAAAGTTAGGCTTGCTTTGTAAATAAGTTTTTATAACTGATGATAAGTATTTGACAATATTTATTTTTAGTTGTTATGCTGACATACAAGAGAGAACAGGTATTGATTGGTGCCCTTCAGAGACTAAAAGGACTTCCCTTTCTGAACCGGGTCATCGTTGTATGGAACAATCCCGTGCCCCCTTCACCTGTCATGAGGTGGCCAGAAATTGGAGTACCCATCAAGGTACAGAAACCCAGTACAGCTTTGGTATTGCTAAGGAGTAATTTGGCTTTTTTATAACACAAAAACCCAAATTTTATCTTTTTTCATATGCATTTTTTTCTTATACAATATCAATTTTTTTATTATTTATTATTAAGTTTAATTCTGTTGTTTTGTGAATTAAGAGAAATTTTAAAAAATGCAGTGAATTAAGGAAGTATGCAACTCCTAAAAAGGACTATTCACATGTACATTTACTAGTACATGGCAGACTAGTAGGAATCTACTATGAGACATCCAGTCTTTTATCGTGTGTCAGAGGGGATGAACATGCATCTTTACTGAGGATAGAGTCTGTTTTTTAAAAAATATCTGTAATTACAGGAGCTTTAATACCATTTTATTTTCTATTTGTTTTCCTTCCTCTGTAATGTTGAAAAATAATCTATTGCAGATTTTAAAGATGGAGAAAAACAGCCTGAACAACAGATTCCTTCCATTCAGCAGTATTGAAACAGAGGCCATCCTCAGCATAGATGATGACGCCCATCTCAGACATGATGAAATTGTGTTTGGATTTCGGTAAAAAATATATGTACTGTATTCATATTCACATGAACTGAAGTCCCAATGGTTATATGTGTATTCACTGAACTCTTAGAATACTTTGATAATGTCAAGTATTTCTGATTAGGCTGAAACACAATAGATCAAATAAAAATTAAATGTTTCAGTTTGCTTCCTACTTATTGACATGTCACTCAATATATGGCAAATCCCATTTTAATTAGACTTGTGCTGTACTGTCACTAAATGTAAAATTCTTTACCAAAAAAAAAAAAAAAATAAATAAAAAAATAAAAAAAGATAAATAAATTTAAAAAAAACTGAAGATGATTGTATTCTCAAGGGAGATAACTACAAGTACCAGAGGAAAGAATATGTTTGATATTTTTGTATTAGTGAAGTATCTTGATATTGTTCTAAAAACCTCCATTTTCATCCTTCTACATAAACATCCATTCATCCTTCTCAGTCTCTCTGGAAAATACATGAATCAATACTTTTTCAGGCTTTTAAATACATGTAAGTGTAAAGATTTAGTATCTGATATACTAATTTACATATGCATTGTTGGGTGAAGATTAAGGTGTATTTATGTATTTAAGGGTATGGAGAGAGGAGAGGGATAGAATTGTTGGATTTCCTGGGAGGTACCATGCCTGGGACTCCCAGAGTAAGATGTGGTACTACAATGCAAACTACTCATGTGAGCTCTCCATGGTTCTGACAGGGGCTGCTTTCTTTCATAAGGTAAGACCCCCCCTCCACACCCCCACTTTTGAGAGCTCTCAGTGTTTCTGATTGGGGCCACTTTCTGTCATAAGGTAAAGGTCCCCCCTGAATTTACAATGGTTCTGACAGGGGCCACTTTCTGTCATAAGGAAAGGATCCCTTTTAAGCACAGCTTTTCCGCAAAAATTCCCTGCTTTTACGCGACAAGTTTTACTGCTTTTCCTTGATTATAATTTTTAGCTTTTCTGCGACTTTTTTTCATATCTCTTCCGTTAGCCAGGTAAAACCTGCTGCCCCCTGCTAACTATGGGAATGTAGAAGTAGGATTTTAAGCAGTAGGGTCTCATTACTGAGGTGGTTGTGATTATTTTTCGTTTTCACCACAGCATTCCCTTTAGCATCAGTTGTAATCGTGACTTTGCAGATTTTATCAACACTGCATGGGTATGACACATCCTCATTCTTTAAAACATTTATTTTTCTGTTATGTTAATCCATGTTGATCTATTTGTCCCCCTGATTCGTTTCTGTATGAACAATTTCCATATTGTTTAGAACATCAAAAACCTATCACCACCGAGTGTGAAATGCAAGATTCATTCAATTTTTATAACCATGTGAGTAAGTACTCACTACCGAGTAGAAGGCCTTCGAGAAATACAGGTAAATATTGGCAACTGTTTGATGTTAATTGCTAAGCAGGACCATTTAAAAAGTCGCAGAATGGAAGTATCATAAAAGGAGATAACACATAACATATAGTAAAAACCAATCTCAGAAAAGCAGTACAGAGAGTAGTCGCGGAAAAGCAACAAGGTTCCGAGAAAAGCAGGTCAGCAGCCCTGACAAGGACCACTTTCTATCATAAGGAAAGGATTCCCCTGTGAGCTTTCTGGTTCCGACTGGTGCACTTTCTTTTATATGGAGTGGTCCTGTCTCAGTGGTTCAATAAGGGAATCCCATAGGGTATTGATGAAAGATGATTCATGACTCATAATAAATCCATTTTATTGCAGAACCCCCCCCCCCCCCCCCAAAAAAAAAAAAAAAAAACAACAACAAAAAAAAACTAACAAACACTTTTCATTAAAAAGATTTTCATTCTCTGCTTTATTTAATTAACCAATAATTTCCATATAAATGTACCAGATTAATATTTAAGATAATAAAACAGAATTATGAGTTAATTAGAGTGTTGAAGGTAACAAAGTATAAATGCATATATTAGTAAATTGAATCAGGTAATATATACTTTTTTCAACAGAATTATGCCTATCTGTACACCCATGTCATGCCACAAGCAATCCGGGACAAAGTGGATGAATACGTCAACTGTGAAGATATCGCCATGAACTTCCTGGTGTCTCATATCACCAGAAAACCTCCTATAAAGGTATTTATCCTGCACCAAAGGCATTTACCCCTCCATATCATAATCGATAGAAAACTTCTACATGCAAAGTAATATCAAAGTACAAAGTGTGTTTGTCCTTAGCCTGTTGAAATAGCTTTTGTAATGCAAATTCTGTGAAAGATACCATTGGTGAAGATTGAACTTTGTTAAAGTTATCTCTGTTAAGCCAAGGTACATTCAACTTGTATGTACTAATATACTTTAAGTCTGCGTGATTTTTAAACAACACTTTTGAGAAAAGTTTGGTCAGATAATATCAGAAATATCATTTACAATTTAATTTTATAACATACATGTATTTGAATTAAACAATTGCAAATTGTACATGTACATTAAATTTTAAAAACTGCTCTCAAAATCAGCAACAAATAAGATTTATGGGGGACTATTTCTTGTGATGGAAAGATATTCAGCAGAAAATTTTCAAAATGTACAGATTTTATTTAGACAGTATGTTGGAACTTTGGCCCTACATACAGTATACAGTGTATTTACTTATGTTACACATATATATGCTAGGAATATTCAATGTAGATTGTCAAATTTTACACATTTTTGTTTTCAATATACTTTGCCAAAAATTGCAGATACATTTGCATATTGAAAAAGTCAACATAAAACCAACTTTGTTTTTATTGTAAAATTTGTGTAATTTGACTCGTATCTTAAAATTTAGGTTTTAAATCTTAAAACCATTAGCCCCAACTTTTTCATTTTTTTGAAATTACATGAAACTTATCATTTAGCACATTTATGAAAAGCTTGACATAAGAAAATGTCATATTGTTTAGATTTTTAAAATAAGATATTTCATAAGTACAAAAAGGTCTCACAGTAATTTATGGCATTTATTATTTAATTAGGTACATTTCCTCAACACTGTTATATGATTACATCTAATAAAAATACTGTTGCTCAGTTATATAGTTATATGCACACTGATCCCCCATTTTCTTTCCAAGTTTGAGTAAATACTGTACAAGTATTTACATCATAAATATTTATGTACTTCTCAAGAAATCCTCGATAAAACCAGTGTCAAGAGTGAAATACTTTATAATTTATTATATTATATAAAATAACTTTTTTTTCTAGGTGACCTCACGATGGACTTTCAGGTGTCCGGGATGCCCAGAAACCCTATCCAGTGATATAGAACATTTCACAGAGAGACACAAGTGTATTAACTTCTTTGTTAAGGTCTTTGGATACATGCCTTTGTTATATACTCAGTACAGAGTGGATTCAGTTTTATTCAAAACAAGACTTCCTGTTGATAAACAAAAATGCTTTAAGTTTATATAGGGGAAGTCAGAAAGCTGTTTGTCTCCAACTATCATTTACCGGTACTTATTGTATGTGGAAAGGTATTTGGAATTGTTGATCTGAAAAAGAAAATACTTGCATCGACCTTTATTTACCTTTCAGTTTTCCTTTCATTTTGACATGTTTAAAGAACTAGCAGTCTGGAAGCAGAATCTATAGAAGACATAGTAATTCATATCACCTGCTCAATTCATTTAAGAGCATATTCCATAAACATTGTGATTAAAAAGTGTAAATGCTAAAATTGAGTCCATAAAATGAGTGTGTAATTCTAATATGAGAAGTGCTGAAAGTTACATGAGCATTTTATGCATGTGGTAAATACTTTTACATAAAGAAAATACTGAGAACCAAACCTAGTGTGGTAACATTTAAGTGTCAAAATGTGTGCATGAAAACGGAAGTGGTACATAACAATAGCTGCATATTAAACAAATTACATCAGATCCTTCAATTAACTCTATACAGTTGCTGATGTATTGATCTTTTAACCTATTGCTTTCCACTTGTGTATTTCTTCTGGAGTTGATTTTAGAATCTGGTATAAAATACAATATGCAGATTAATACTGTAGATATATTTGTATTTTTACATATCACATTGTGTATAAGCATGATTCTTTGGTCAATGCTTTGAGCCATTACCACCTTAAATGTACATGAATTGGCTTCGACTACGCAAAATATTATTTAGGTTGCTTGCAAATTCATAGTCAATTCAATAACAGCTTTAACCAACAATGGATAATTTTTTTTCTTATTGTCAAACTATTATGCACAAATAATTAATATTCATTATCTAGTGTTCCGATGGTTTTGCTTGACATTTTGTTTTGGTGGGGTTAAGTGAGGAACATTATAAAAACTCATTGTTTCATATGCAAAAGATGCGTCTCAAGTTGTACAAAATTTATTTAGAAAAAAGCAATTTCTACCATGGAAACATGCACTGTGAAATCATGCATTGTGATTTCACAGTACATTACTGTACATGTGTGTATGTTTTGTAGTTGAGTATGTTTTGAAAAATCTCATAACATCTGTTAATCACTTCATGTTCAACAGGCTAAAAAGTATGAGAGAGATTCAGATCTACACTGATCTTCTACGTATATTTATTTGCACTCTATCTCTATCTACATATATAATACATTTGGGAAAAGACTTGTACTGAATATACAATACTGTTGAGTTACAAACCAGTTACAGTCATGTATTCAGTTGATTCTGTTGTTTTTTTTTTCCTTTTCTGGGAGGGGGCATTAGTCTACGTTCTCTGTATCGGAAGGAGTCCATTTACCATGTTCCACTTAAACCTCATATCTCAACATTGTGAAATGTTGACCATGGTGCTTTGTTTACATTTTACTTAAATATCAGAGAGTTAACATATTCCTGTATTTGTGCTTTGCCTTTCTGTCTTTCCACACATAAAAAATTGGGTAACAAAGGTTTGTGTGAATAAACAAAACTCATTGTCATGCATCAGAATCATGCACTTTAACTATTTTGTAGATGATATTGTTTGTGAAAATTTAAGGAAGTTAATTCATAATTTCTAAATGTAAGAATTTAAAAAGATATACAGTATTTTAAATTTTGTATATAATGTTGTATGTACTAAATTATTTTATATGCTTTTGCAAAAGAAAATGTATTGAATTATTAAAATACATCATTCAAGATTAAAATTGGTTGTTATTTAAAGTAAACTGGGAAATAACTTGTAGATGATATGAACACATTTTTTGTCTCCATTGTAACTGTTTTTTATAGAGTGACCATACAGTGCTAGGTGCAGTAACCATTACAAGAAATTACAAAGAGAGTCCTGCACAGATATCAATGAGGTCTAATCATTATACAGTAAAACTTGTCTAATCCGGACACAACTGGTTCCTTAGAAATTGCCTGGCTAAGACAACATTGCAGATAAGACAACATTTTACTGAATGGGCCTTAAAGTTAACATCATATAAGGCAAGATTTCGGAATACACAACATCCGGATCAGACAAGTTTCACTGTAGTATTATAAATGTACAAGTATGAATAGTTAGTTTCTGATCAAGAAAAAGCCAACACTTACTGGTTCAAACAATAATTTAATTAAACACATGCAATCCAATACACTTACAACTTGTAACATCATAAAACAGGTCACTTTTTATAGAAAAATGTCAGTATCCATTCTGGAGTGTTGTATTCTGTTTAATATGCATTGTAATAAGATAAACAGCACAAACATCCACCCCTCCTCCTTTACGATCTCTTCACACTAACATCTTTTCATCATCTTCACACTAACATCTTTTCATCATCTTCCCTGTAACATCTTTTCATCATCTTCACTGCAAACTGTTCAACTGTTACAGCACCATCCTTCACTGTCTCCTTAGTTGAGCAACCTTTTTTTTCTTTCTCTCCTTCTCTTATTTACAATCATACCCTTTGTCTTTGTAAGTCTTTATTTACAAAAACGCAATTTCCTTCAGCATTCCCCTATTTCTCCTGTCACATTCTGTATTCTCTCCTCAAGTCTTTCAATCATGTGTTGCAAAATTTCCTAAGTAAAATAAAAGAAAATAGAAATTTAAAAAAAATATTTAAAAAAATAAGTAAAATTTCTAGATGCTTACATGTATATATTAATTTACTATAAATGTGCTGCTGTTCTTAAAAAGCATGTTCCTATGAAAAATTGGGACCCCCCTTATGGTGTCACCTTGAATCTGCAACAAATGGGAATGCTTTCTGTTAAGTATTCCAGGTTATTTTTGCCCTTTCAAACTAGCGAACAAATATGCCCAGATTCAGCTGCATTTAAGAGATAATGCTGTCTCCTTTGAATTTGCCCCATTTTAAATTCGCCCACTCGGGAAGTCTGGAAGAAGATGAAAGGGGCGGATATTTTCCTGCATACATTATCCTGGGATAATTACACATGTACTGTACTTATATATTACAAAGCAGTTCTTGACAAGCTCTTTAAACTTTGCTCCTACACATGCATATTCCAGTGTACCTATTGGACTTGGCCTCGAGCTATGACCTGAACAAACTTGAATCCATTCTATTCAGGGATGTTTCCATATTTTTAATTGACTTATAGCAATCCTGTTGATCTTTGTGGTTTCACTTATACAAATTCCCCCATATATTCTTTTGTAAAATTTTGAATGTAATTCTATTGAGGCATCATTTCCAGCCTTCATGGTCACGTACAGATATTTGCACATGCTCTATTCTTTCCCTTTAGCAGTTACATTTACAACTCCATGAACACAATTGCTCTCAATATATGCACAGACTGTGTCAAACTTGAGCCCAGAGAAATCGGCTTTATAACAATAACAGCCTGTTCAGGATTCTACATGGGTTTAGTTAAAAAGAAGAATATTGCAGGTTATAATTAAAATCTCTGAAAAATGGAATGAGAAATGTTGATTACAATTACATGTGTATTTTGAAACTTTTAAAAAATTCATTTAGTAACGTCAAAATTGAATAATAAAAATATCTTTCAGTAAAACACATAAGCAAAAATACATAATTTACAAGTATAATTTTACACTTAAGGACTTGGTGAATTTACGTCACAGTAAGCAATATGAAGAATACTTTACAATGATTTTCTTAATATTTGTATTCAAAATTTAGTTTAACTCCAGAAATGAATAAAACATGCAAAGAATTAAATATCTCTTTTATTTTCCTATAAATAATAGTAACAGAGGTAAAATACTTTGAATGATGATATCATACCGTTTATGAAATATGATGAGTGAAAATGAAATACATGTATAACAAAAAGTTGGTGAAGATGGCATATAAATACCGGTAGATAGATGAAATGGGTGGTTAGCCAAAAAATTAATTAGTTTCTCAGGCACTACCGCACTAGGTTTAACACTGCCGCATTGATTGATTTTTTTGACATATTCAAAAGGGAAATAACTCAATTTTCTTTTTTTCCAAGTTGAAAAGAAAATTGAGTTATGGCCTTTTCATTCATAGAAAGACTTTTTTTTGGTTACATACACAACATCTACCTTGTTAAAGGTGCTTGGACACAGATTTGAAGTTAATATTTTCTCAAATTTTCTGTATAATTTCATGACTTATATGTTGCTATAGCATTTCATACTATAATATAATAAAATCTTATTTCATCTTGAAGTTATCAAAACTTTGAATTTCTGGACGCGTTGGATTGACACATCCTTGCGCTTTCACATATTTTAATTTTATTCTTAATACTTAAGAAAAGTGGCAATTTTGTTGTGTATTAATGAAAAACATTAAAACTATAACCCAGAAAATTCACAGTAGAAAATCCTGAATGACAAATTGGACTTGCCTTGTTAATTAAACTTGTTCCGGCCGCAATTCCTTCCAAACTTTTCAGTGAAATTTGTCAATAAAAAGTAATTTCCCAATAGACAAACAAACAAAAGTGAAAACAAACCCTATTTATTATCTTTCTTACTATGTGCACATTTACTTGGGATAAAAAAAAAAATTATCAAATGAATGTACATGTACGAGGGGTTATAAAAAAGTTCGTGGTCTAGCACCATAAAATTAAAACCGTTTTAGGTACATCAATGAATTTTAAAACATTTAGTTGGCATCATCTTTTCTATCTAAAGAATAAACCATAAATCATAAGTTTTATTTTTTTTAATAAATTGTTAATGTTTTTGTAAGCAAAGGTTTGTCCACGAAGCACTACCTCGAACATGATGTTTTTTTTTCTGCCTGAGTGTAACTGAGAAAAACTCTTTTCATATGAGCATTTGTCATCCAAAAACCCTGTTAATTCAGGTATGTGGTATGACACAATTGTTCTGCATAATTTGCAAGTTTTACCTCATTCTGTAAGTTCTATAAAATTTTATCGTAAATTCAATATGAAATGTTCAAACAATTAAGGGCTTGAAAATGACCTCAAAAAGGGGATTGGGTTTCTTTTTTCAACCTTCTTTTTTTAACAAGTTTCTCCCCTGGAAAAACTGGTAAAGACCTAGGAAATGTTTAAGCAGGCTAAAGAGAAATAAAATGCATCCAGAGTACTTGTTTTCAAATGCCAAAAATGATTCAGAGAGATGAGAGATGTACAGTTCATGTCAATTTGTAGTCAGGGTGTCAGAAGTCAGTCACGTTGAAAAGTGAAGTCGATCATGTGTGGTAGATATTGCTAAACATACTGGCATAATCAAGTGAGGATCTTTTCCTATGTATATATCAATTTACAAATATTATATGCATTGAAAGCAGCTGTTCATGAAATTTTAAAATCATATAAACAAGACGAGTTTAAGTCCTTACTTAACTCCAGGGAATCTCATCAAGATAAGAGTATGAGGTAGAGGGAACGGACACGGAGAAACAATGACGTTGTCAGACTAAATGGTGACAGCGCCCAGTGATCATATAATGTCTTTTTTATTTTATAATAATTTGGCAAATTATCAACATATCAAGCTAAAATTTTCAACAATTCTTAAACTTTTGTTGTTTTATGTTCCCTATAAATTTTGTAAGCACAGGCTACATAATATTAATTTTACTGCATCAGTCCACAGATGTTTTGATAACCCCTCGTACATATGTTTGTACTCTTTTTGTACGTCTGAATGTACTGGAATGTATAACTGTATATACAGCAGACAGTGTTGGTGGAATGTTGGTGGAAAATGCAATACTTTCAAAAATTTGCGCTTAGCAGCATTGTAAAGCAAGATAAACAAAACTGGAAAATTTTGAACCATTCAAAATTACAAATCATTGCCTTAGAATACAAAAGTGAATTCAGTGTATATTACCTCTACTCTCTCTTTGTGGTCAATCATCTTGGAAAGGGCATTTTTTAGGAAACTCTCATACAACTCTCCATCATGTTCCATGGATCTGATCTTAATCTCCATACTGAATGAGAAAAAATATTACAGTCTTATTCAATGTGCTCTGTACAATTACTGTGCATATGGCATATGACAAGTCCATATGAAAATACTGCAGAAATGTTCTGTGAACTGGCTGGGTAATTTTAAATTTTTGCCATTCTTAATATTAGAAGACATCACATGTTATTTGAATCTAAGGACAGCCCCACCTTTAAAAATGAATTTTTGTTATGTTGTGATTTTTTTTAAACCTAAGATTATGTCATATAATTTAAGTCTAGAAATTTGACTAGGAATAGAAATGGCGAAAAATATAAAAGAACCTCTGCAAACCTTTTCTGAATTTCCCTTAACTCCATCTGTCCTTCAGCTAGTGTCTTATTAGAGGAAAATTTCATCTGGGATAACTCCTTCTCTAAACCCTCTTTCTCTTCTTGTAGTTTTTGAAACTCTTTTTGGTGCACCTGTATTGTATAAAATAAAACTTTAGTTTTACCTTAAAAAATCATAACACTGAAGCAGCATTGTTATAGGACAAAATAATGTCTTACGTACTGTACTTATAGCTATATTGAATTACTTTTGATCTCCTTAAGGTCAAGATCTAGTAAATGAGTTTACACTGTCTTTTTGGTGCTAGATCAATTATGACATCATAATTGATTTCAACTTAATTTTATGGCTGTACATGTAATAGAATTATGCAGAAAAAGAAGCATTCTCATGGAATTCAGTTTGAAATCCTGTCAAAAATAACCCAAATACCTATATTAAAGGATGATTCTCTATAAGGCCATTTTCCGGCCTACGATAAAATCACTTAAAAATGTGATTTTATGCAACTTTAATCATTATATTTCATGATTTTGATGTTTGTTTTTCAACATCAATCACCTAAGTCGTGTGATTTAAAGATCACAAACGGCCGTCAAGTAAAGAAAAATTGAGGGTAGGTCTATTTACATCAAGTTTTCATGCATGTTTCTAGATGTAAATGATCAAAAATTGTTTATTTATGTCGGAACATATCAGACTTAAGTAATAAAAGCAAAGATTGTTTAATTTAAGGCTAAAGATATTTTTTTATGGCAAGAATTTTGATGCATTCACATTTTGCATATTTTGAATGTAAATCTTTACAAAATGCACCTCGTACGATGTTGAAAAATGTTTAATTAGCATTTAATTAAAAGTATTATTTTATATATGTTTATATTGTACTTGTGTATTGTTTCTATAGATGTGGTACCTATTTTACGCATAAAATGCCCATGCAAGAAATGAGATTTCTAAGTTTCTTTTGAACTATAAAAGTTGTGTATCAAATGTTTAAAGCAATGAATGAATTTTGTTTGTGATTAAATCAAAATTAAGTTGTAATTTATAAAATATAGTCTACATTTGCAAAAAAAATTAAGAATTCATTAATTTACAGGATGAAAATATTAATGCAAGTACATGTTAATGGTCAGTACATAAAACTCAGAACGGTTGTATTAAAAATATATATATCGACGTAAAATGAAAAAACATCGTAAGAGTTGATTTGATTCAATTTAATTACGCATGTAAAACAATATATTTAATTTAAAATGCTATCTTAACTATAATACACAAATGTATGTATAAAAGTCGAGCCCCCCCCCCCCCCCCCCCCCACGGCACTCCATAAAATGGAGTAGATTTTCAACAGTTCCTTCCACTACGCATATCAGAAGTTTTAGTATATCCATGGACTAACAGAGTTCTACAACATCCCAGGTACAAAATGGACCGTAAGAGATGACACTCCTTTCGCACTCTTGAAACCTGAGAATCAAATTCTCTTTCCGTGCTGCGTCAAGAACTAAGGTGTTTAACAAGGGTAGTGACAGTTCCTTTGCTAAGTCCTCAGCATTGAAAGTAAAAGTCATGGGTCTCTTGGATATTATCTTAAAGAAGGAGGTCCTGTCCCACGGTAGGTGTTGGTCAATACTGAAACCATGCATAAATCAAAATTGTGACACTTCACCTTAAGTGGATGATCTCTTTATCTGGGTGAAAAATTCTAAAATGGCGTAAAGCAACATTCAATTATCAATCACGTGACATTTAGGAACCCCTTTCCTCCTTGGCGTTTTATTTTCTAAGACAGAACTACTGTTCTCATAACTTATATTGATGCTACCAAAGAAGTGTGATGAATAGATTGAGTCCTCTCAACACCCAGTTAACAAAATACATGGATCCTATGTCACTCATACGGAAAAGTGTCCTTCTAAAAGGTCGAGGCGAGAATTTCCATCATGAAACCATCCCATCAGTAATTCTCTATCTATAAAAGTTACATGTGTACCCATAGAAAAATTAAGTTTATAACACAAATAGCAAATGCATCTTCCCGCTACAACAAACATAGGTAATCAAAGATTACGAAGCTCAACTCGACGAATGTTATCTATAAGTAAGGCAAATTTCACATCATATTTTTTTTCTAGTTAGGGTACATCCCAAGATCAATATCCATGCAAGTTTGGTTTAAGTAGGACTTATTGTTACTTGGAAATAGACCTGCTCAAAAAACCGTTTACTAATCAAGAAAATTTTGGTCAGTTCCAACATCCAAAGCAAGTCTGGAAGTTTCATCCTTGAATGCACCATCTATGCAAGTTTAATCACAACAGGCCATAATTTTATATAGCTAATCCAAAAAAAAATTATCCTGGTCACTCATCTAGAAAATGTAAGTCGGATTCAGAATCCAAAGAAAGTCTGGAAGTGTTCATCCCTAGATACAGCATCCATGCTAATTTAGTTAAAATATTGCTAAAATTCACTCATGTGGAAAATCTAGGTCTGATCCAGCATCCGAAGCAGGTTTGTTAGTGTACATCCCTAGATGCATCATCCATGCAAGTTTGGTCCAGGTAGGGCTTAGAGTTACTTGGGAATGGACCTGCTCCAAAAACTTTAACCTGGTCACTCATCTGGAAAATCTAGGTCAGATCCAGCATATGAAGCAAGTGTGGAAGTGTCCATCCCTAGATGCATCATCCATGCAAGTTTGGTCCAGGTAGGGCTTATAGTTACTTGGGAATGGAACTTGCTCCTAAAACTTTAACCAGGACGCCGACGCTAACGCCGACGCCGGGGGTATAGCATAAGCTCATCTCGACTTCGTCGAGGTGAGCTAAAAATAGCTTTTATCATTTCTAGAATTAATAACAAATATGCAGTACTCCTAAGGAAATACAAATACAAAGAAGTAGCATAGATAAACTAAACTATCCTTATAAAAAATATAATTATAATAAGTAACTTATATTCATGTCTTATAGTCTATAAAAAAATTTCTTTATTTCTAGCAGATAGTTCAATGAGACTTGTATTCACGTAATTTCATAACAACCAGTCATTTCAGTCCTTTGATTTTAGATTTTTTAAGTAAAAAGTTTACCTTTTTTGAGTAAACATGCATGGCTTATATTAATTCTTAGTAAATCAATAGAAACATGTACTCTAAGTGGAAGTTTATAATAAGAAATAATCTACATAAGCTGATATCCTTCATTGTAAGTAGTTAGCTTTTCCTGCAAATATCGTAAAAATGAAGCGAAAAGTTTTTATTTACATGTCATAACCACCTTTAACCAAGTTGATAATTTGGTAGTCACTTTTTATGTTCATAAGAAGTTTACATGCAAATTTTGGTGTTGGTTAAAGGTGGTTATGACATGTGTAGGAGTTACCTAACACACCAACCCTCTTGAGTTTTCCCATTACCCTAATGCTAATACGGACCGATAGTACCTTACTTTGTGACCCTATATCATAACAAATACTTTTGTATCATTAACCAATCAACATTTATCATTAAATTGGAACATTAGCCTACTGACTCATGCAGTTTTTAAGGGAAAAAATACTATTTGAAAATTTGAAGTCATTGTAGGCCGCAAAATGGCCTTATAGAGAATGATCCTTTAATATCATTTTAAAGTAGAGGTCAAAAAGATATGAAAAATTGCTTTCTGAGAGGCTGTGGGCAATATTAATACATTCCTTCTTCTGAGATGGGAAAAAACTCCAAAAATCATAACTGACTCTCTTCATTTTTCATTGAAAATGACAGTTTTGAATATGTTTTTCATTGAATTTACCTAAAAATTATGTCCCGATACACCTTATTTTACCAAGCTATATTTGTGAAGAATCATTAAAAGAACTCGTTTCTCAAATTTGAAAAATCTGTAGGCACCTCTCATTTACTAGATCTTGACTTTAATGTATAGGACTAATACGAATTTTGTTTCAAAATTGTTTAAAGCCCATTCTGCAGTTTCAGAAAAAGAGGTAACAAGATGTGTTTGTGAAACACTGATGCCCCCCTATGGCAGCTTATGGCGAAGGTTAAAGTTTCTCAAATGCAAGTCAAAATCCAGGCCAAAAGATAAAAAAATGTTAAATTTGAAAGCCCTTGCTGCAACTGTTCAAAAGTAATGGCAAAGGTTAAAGTTTTTTAAAAGTAAGTAAATCATCAAGGTCAAGGTCAAAGTTGTTGGTATCCAAAGGAAGGCCTTGTCTAAAACAATACACATGTGAAGTTTGAAACCCCAAGCACCAACTGTTCAGAAGTTATGGCCAAGGTTAAAGTCTCATAAAATTCTGCAAAAGTGGGTCAAACTCCAAGGTCAAGGTCAAATATGATGGTACCCAAAGAAAGGTCTTGTCACAAGGAATACACATGTGAAATATGAAAGTCATAGCTGCAACCAATCAAAAGTTATGGGCAAGGTTAAAGTTGACAGACAGACAAACAGACAAACAGATAAACAGACAAACAGACAGACAGGACAAAAACAATATACCCCCGGGATCTTTCGATCCGTGGGCATAAAAATGTTCCAAAAGTTCTTTTTAAAGGTAACAATGTCACTGAATCACTCTATTGACCCATCATTTTACCCAGTGTTTTCCCTTCATTTCAAAGTAAAGGGTTAGAGATCAATTGTAACAGGCTTTGGGTTGAGGTTTATTAACAAATCTCTATGGACCTTACAACAATTAAAATTTGAATTTTGATTTCGAAGCCAATTTTTATCAATTGAAGTGGTCAATTTGGCAGATAGCTGATTCTTAAGGAGTGTTTACCCTGTACATGTCTCTTTGTGCTATCAAGCATTTTTGCGACATATATAGCATCAGCACAATTGCCAAGAAAAAAAACCCTGATATATACATGTAAATACTTCTGGGGAGAAAAAACTAGAAGGATCAGATTTGACATGTATATAAGATTACAGAATTTCCAAAATGGAGATATATTGGAGATACATGTATTTTGAAAGCCAGAGTACTATAGTAAATATATCCCAAACTCAAGTACTGTAGTAATATAAGTATATCCCTAACTCTTGTTTTTGATGCTACAAATTACAGAACAAACACTATACAATGATTTAAATTCATACAATCTGAGCGTTCATGCAATACTGAAAGTAGAATTGAATATGATACAAGTAAATAGTACATTGGAGATAACATTACTAAAAGAGGACAAAGTTACCTTTAGAGGAGTTAGAAAAGGTTTAAAACATTCACTGGCACTAAAGTGTACAAATTAAACTGATTTACAGTCATTACACACACACAACCACTTAGTAACTGCCGACTGTTCGTTACATGTAGAACTGACCTGCTTTTTGAACTCTAGGTCTTCTTCTAGTCTCTTCAGTTGACTTTCTTTCAGTTTTAATTCATTTTCTAAATCCATACAATCAGCAACACTCTGAAATAAAAGTTTCTTATACATGTTATAAACCTGAAGATTTTCTGGGTTGCAATTACTAAACACACATGTACATGAAGTTGCACTTCAGATTTGTTTAATATATATTACAAAACTTAAAATTTTTTTTTGAAATACATGTATTTCGACCATGTTACTGGCCTTCATCAGTCATGTTTATTTGAATGCACAGCAACACAACATCGAACAACATATTATAAGGTCACAACGAACATACAAACTGAAAGCCAACGTCATGTTATAAAACAGTGCCAAAAACATCTGAAAATGTTGCGAGAGTAAATATTTAAAATGGATCTAAACTATCAGAACATGCTTCCACATTAATATGATTCATCATGGATTTACTTTCGTAGAGTTTCAAAGATTTTTCCCTATATAATCCCTATAATGGCCCCACCTGATCCCAGGGGTAATGATATAAACAATTTACAATCTATACTACCTCAGGAAGCTTCCACATCAGTTTCAGCTTTCCTGGTCCAGTGGTTCTTGAGAAAAGATTTTTACAGATTTTTCCTATATATTTCAATGTAAACCTTGTTTCCCTATTGTGGCCCCACCCTACCCCTGGGGCCACATAAGATTCAGCTTTTATGGTCCAGTGGTTTTTGAGAAGAAGATTTTTGAAGATTTTTCCTATATAATTCAGTGTAAAACTTTGATCCCTTGTTACAGCCCCACCCTAGGGAAATAAACAGTTTTATGGTATTCATTTTACATAGATTAATAACAGTAGAGGTATAATAAATTCCATTGTAAAACTTTGATCACATATTGTGGCCCCACATAGGGCTCATTGTTATGAATAAAATTGAATCTAAACTTTGTAATGAGGCTTTCACATAAGTTTCATCTTTTCTGGCCAAGTGGTTATTAAGAAAATATTTAAAACAAGCCATTAAATTTTCTCGAATTCTTAATTATCTCCCCTTGGAGGAGGGTGTGACTGTTCATTTGAAAAAAACTTAAATCCCCTTCACCCAACGATGCTTTGTAACAAGTATGGTTGAAATCAGACAAGTGGTTCTTGAGAAGAAGTCGAAAAATGTGAAAAGTTTACAAACAACAGATGGATGCTGGACACCCTTCAATCAGAAAAAAAAAATTACTTGAGCCAAAGAGCCTTTGGCTCAGGTGAGCTAAAAAGTCTTTCAAAGACTCTTGGCAAGCTGTGTTACATAAAAAACAATATGTACCTGCAGTGTGAATAATAAGTACTGTATGGCATCTGTACCTACTCAAGGACATGCAAGTATTGTATCCACTCAATAACATGTAAGTACTGTACCTACTTAAAGATGTGCGAGTACTGTATCCATTCAATGACATGTAAATACTGTACCTACTTAAAGATGTGCGAGTACTGTATCCATTCAATGACATGTAAGTACTGTACCTACTTAAAGATGTGCGAGTACTGTATCCATTCAATGACATGTACTGTACCTACTCAGAGATGTGTTAGTACAGTATCTGCTCTGACATGTAAGTACTGTACTACTTAGAGAAATATGAACATTGCTCAAAGACATTCAAGTATTGTACTTGTTAAAACATTTTAAGTACCCGGTACTGTACCTGCTCAAAGACATCTTTTTCAGTCATGAGCTCCTTGGATTTTTCATGCATTGTTTCTGCCCATTGCTTTTTCAAAGACTGCAGTGCTGGCTACAAAAATAAAATCCATTACTTGCTCAGGGAATTAAATTACAATGTAAATTTTGCTATTGGTCACACAGTCAAATTAAAATCTGATTACAGGCTAACACCTGGTTAGAAGAATTTCAACCAAGTATATTCCTATACTTAGTCACCATATACACTGTACATGTTAATATAAGTATGATGTACATGTACAATGTAAATGATCCAATCAATGACACCAATAAATCTAAATTCTTGAAGCTTAAGAAATTTTTCATTTAGAGTAGATCAATGTACATATACATGTATATGTTTATCAAAAAAATAAAGTTTGTTATTTTGAATGCAATTTTCTTACAATTCATTTTTTTAAAAAGAAATCTCTGCATAAATATTGATAATTTAGCGTTTTAACCTATCTATTTTAGCTGACTTAGTGGTAATTATGGCTCGCCGGATTGAGATCACAGGGTAATTGATCAGTTTGTGAAGTGATAATTACTGTTTAAACAATATGTCGATACCCTGACTGTCCTGTTATTCTTTAATTATATTATAATTAAATAAATCATATATGAGCAATGTGAATTGGTATGATTATCTTTTGCAGTTATCCGTCAAATTATATTTTAGACAAACAGTGTAAATTACGGTAAGTGGAAGTTCCAATTTAATTTTGATTATGGTAACAATGCAGTATGGACTTGTGTGACATCTGCTCTGGAAAATTATCTATGTCTGATTTCTCAGGCACGTTTCATGGGTTTTCTTTATTTTTTTATTTCTTTTTTTTTTCTCGATTGAAATTGAAATAAATATATTTACATGTAGATCCCTGATCAAGATTAACAGAATGTTTCTAAATTTTAATGTCTTTTTTTAGCCTTCTTGTGTTTGTAAGAAGAGGTTCTTGAAAAAAAGTCATGGAAATGTGTATTTTGATACGATTAACCGGTTAATCAGTTGGAATGTGTTGCGGTTAACCGATTAGCAATTCTGTATTCAATTGCCATCCGTAATATACATGTACATTATACATTACATAGATCAGTGATAATTCTGTGAATTGGCCAAAATATATAAAATAGGTCAGGGGTCAAGGGGCTGATGAAATATAGGCTTTAGCAAGCCAAAAATAGGTTTAAACAACAACTTTTACATCCTAACCTGAATGAACCACCACACCACTGTAAGGAAGTCCAAGGTTTGTGTTTACCTTACTTGGAGATAAAAGCAATATCTGGATGATGCAGACTAGATCAAAACACAGACTTAATAACTTGAATTTTTTACCTGGACAAAAGGGGAAACTGATCACTGCATTATAGAAAGTACTGAAATATTTGAAAACACTTGTCAATATCGGGTTCTTAGATTCAAGTTACCGGAATTCTGCTAAATATTGGAACTGAATCATCACTGATAGATACACATTCATGTAAGTCAGATTTAATAAAATTCACAAAATTATCTTAATGTCTTGAGTTTTGTTTTGGTTTGCTACATTATAAACAGTGAACAAATAGTCTTGAATGACTGACTGGTTTGTATTGATAACAATGTAAGAAAAGTTGCACTTGGACTTGTAAAATACTTCTTTTTAAGTTTCACATGTTTACAGAATCATGTATTTTGATGTTTTCTTATCTTGTAACAAGTTTGGTCCCTACATGTCTTCTATGTCACATAGACAGCACGATTAACTAACACAGTGATCAATTATGTACCTTGACAACTTCTGTGAATTTATTCCTGGCGTTGTAACAGGATGACAGTTCGTAATCCACACCGCAGGCGTACTGTGCTGATGTTGGTATCAGCTTTAGTTGCTGAGCCAGATCATTGTATTCATTACAGGAAGATTCTACCTATAAAACAATTGTCTTGATTTACTCTTAAAGCAATGTGAAAACATTACTAGATAATATTGAATGAGGTGGATGCACAACCATTTCTTATAAAAACATTAATGAATCAATCTGAACTTCCAGGTGTAATTAGTACAAATCTTATCAACTCATATTTGAATAAAACATTCAAACAACCATGATTGCATGTTCACTCTACATTACTTTTAACACTGATCAATTTTATTCACATAGTGAAAAGGGGAATAACTCATTTTTTCTTATTGTTCAAGTCCAAGAAAACATTCCTGCTGCATTCAATTTTGAAATTTTTGGCCAGAGAAACTTAAGATTAATTTCTTGGGCCTTATGAAGATAGTACTTGAAAATGTTAACAGAGGAAAATTTTATTAAATAGAAAGGAAAATTAAAGTTCATTATGCCATGTTGTGCATCTTAAAAATAAAATTCATACTTTTTGATCTGCATAATTGTAGTTATATTTATAGCTACCCTTTCTAGCATTTTTGAGGCTTTCATTTCCTCTGACCAGATCTCTTGGTCAATACTGGACACTCTGGCCTCTGCATCATCAATCTGACGTAACATGTCCTTCCTATTGATTTTAATTCGTTCAATATCTTCAGGGCTGAATTCCTGGGACTCAAAGATCTGCTGCTTCTCCTGGTTTTTGGCCTTGATGCTGTTTAAATCCGCAACTTCAAAAGACAATTATCTTACTCTGTCATTTTCCATATACATTTTGTGAACTGAAACTTACATTATGAATGCACTGAAATTAATATTCATTTATAAATTGCTCTTTGTGTAATTTATGATCGCTTTTTATAAGTGTACTGAAAATATAGCAGAAATGTTTATGAATTATCTGGCACACCATAAATTACTATTTTAAAATATGTATGTTTCATGTTCATACAAAATCATAATTATTTATTAATTAGCAATGCAAATGAAAAATTTTCCAAATGCCTCAAAATATGGATCCTGCTAAAATAAGTGAATTTATATGTAACTATACACAATATCAAAATACAATAAAATATGCACTACATAGTTAGTCAGACCATTGTTGTCAGACCCTAGTGCAATTAAATCAAACAGACCCTAATGTAATCAGATAAAACAAAAACTAGTGTAATAAAACAACACCTAGTGTAATCAAATCAAACAATACCTAGTGTAATCAGATCAAACAATACCTAGTGTAATCAGATAAAACAATACCCAGTAAAGTATAATCAGATCAAACAATACCTAGTGTAATCAGATAAAATAATACCTAGTGTAATCAGATCAAACAATACCTAGTGTAATCAGATCACACAATACCTAGTGTAATCAGATCAAACAATACCTAGTGTAATCAGATCAAACAATACCCAGTAAAGTATAATCAGATCAAACAATACCTAGTGTAATCAGATAAAATAATACCTAGTGTAATCAGATCAAACAATACCTAGTGTAATCAGATCACACAATACCTAGTGTAATCAGATCAAACAATACCTAGTGTAATCAGATCAAACAATACCAAGTAAAGTATAATCAGATCAAACAATACCTAGTGTAATCTGATCAAACAATACCTAGTGTAATCAGATCAAACAATACCTAGCGTAATCAGATAAAATAATACCTAGTGTAATCAGATCAAACAATACCTAGATCAGATCAAACAAAACCTAGTGTAATCAGATCAAACAAAACATAGTGTAATCAGATCAAACAATACCTAGTGTAATCAGATCAAACAATACCTAGTGTAATCAGATCAAACAATACCTAGTGTAATCAGATCAAACAATACCTAGTGTAATCAGATCAAACAATACCTAGTGTAATCAGATCTAGTGTTAAATCTAAAGCAAACTAGTATGGCGCGGCGCCATGCCCCTTTTCCTCGGCACCATGCCCATTTTTCCAGCGCCATGCCCTTTTTCTACTTGCCAAAAATAAATAATATGCCCAACAGTGGAGATTGACTAGCTGCTCTGTTTATTCAGTGCATGCTGATTAGCCCTTTTGTTTATCTAATGTGTACTCAAAAGGTGTGAATTCACGGCAGGAAATTACTTCTCGCTTGAATGCACAGCCACCTGGCCAGGTAACATGCCTCAGGCTGTTAGGGTATAGGAGATAACATGAGAAAAACATCATTTCATTGCATTGAATATACAAGAATTAGCACAATGTCTAAGACAGATGAACTTGTGAATTAAATATACTAAGACAGAATCGTTTTTTTTTAACCGAAAGTAGGGGAAAAAAATAGCTGCTGATGAAAAGTGTAAAACAGTCATTTAATCTGAATAAACTCAACTTGTATTGCACCAAAACTGGATATTATATGAGAAATGGGCTTGGAATCAACAAAGTATGAAGAGCATTTCTTTGAATGATGTTTTGTTCTTTAGAATTGAAACCCTGAGGGTCAATAAAAAGTATTTAACGAGATTCATTTCATTAAAGTTTTATTATTATTATTATTTTTTTTTTGTTTAGATCAAAATTTTCACTTGATAATATTGATAGATTATTTTCCAAATAAAGAAACTGCCCATAACAATTATTTTCTAAGTAAACCCCCCCCCCCCCCATTTGGGGAAAAAAAAAATTTGTGTTTTGCATGTCATACACCAATAACACTATCCAAACAGGAAAAAATCATGGGATGCCTCCAACTGATAATTCTTGGTGCATGCAACAGCTAGATTCACACCTATAATGGTTTTTAAACTAACCTAATATCTAATTCCTTGTTGAAAAATTAAATGTAAATATATATTTTTTAATAGTCATGTCAGTGTGTGAATTGTATTATGTTGTTTTTCTTTTTTAAAAAAGAATAATTGAAAACAGATTTATAAATTTCATTACCTTTTAATTACTTGTGTAAAGATTTTAGTATAATAATAATTAAAGTACATAAAGTAAAAGTTTAATTTCAAAGGCACGTTGAAGAGTGCCCCCATGAAAACTTGTCGCGACATAAAGTGCAATTTTGATTTTTGGATTACCATGCCCTTTTTGGGGTCTAGATTTAACACTAAGATCAAACAATACCTAGTATAATCAGATCAAACACTAGAAATATGTCCATAGGACATGAATGCCCCGCCAAGGGTATATTAGTAATGCAACATTTTAACACAAATTGAGAAAAGTGAGGTCAAGGTCAAAGGAAAGGTCAAGGTCAAAAAATATTGCTGCAGTTGAATAGCTTACATCAGTATGTATCAGCATATGACGTTTGATTCAGAAACTAATTTAAGAAAAGTGAGGCCAAGATCAAAGGAAAGGTCAAGATCAAAAAATGTTGATGTAGTTGAAAAGGTCACATCAGTATGTATTAGCATATGAAGTTTGATGAAAATATTATGAATGGTTTCTTTAAAACTGAGCTAAACACTAATTTAAGAAAAGTGAGGTCAAGGTCAAAGGAAAGGTCAAGGTAAAAAAATATTGATGCAGTTGAATAGCTCTCATCAGTATGTATCAGCATATGAAGTTTGACACTAATTTAAGAAAAGTGAGGTCAAGGTCAAAGGAAAGGTCAAGGTCAAAAAATGTTGATGCAGTTGAAAAGGTTACATCAGTATGTATTAACATATGAAAATTGATGAAAATATTATAAATGGTTTCTTTAAAACTGAGTTAAACACTAATTTAAGAAAAGTGAGGTCAAGGTCAAAGGAAAGGTCAAGGTCAAAAAATATTGCTGCAGTTGAATAGCTCTCATCAGTATGTATCAGCATATGAAGTTTGACACTAATTTAAGAAAAGTGAGGTCAAGGTCAAAGGAAAGGTCAAGGTCAAAAAATGTTGATGCAGTTGAATAGCTCTCATCAGTATGTATCAGCATATGAAGTTTGATAACACTATCTTGAATGATATCTTTAAAACTGAGCTAAAAACTTATTTAAGAAAAGTGAGGTCAAGGTCAAAGGAAAGGTCAAGGTAAAAAATATTGATGCAGTTGAATAGCTCTCATCAGTATGTATCAGCATATGAAGTTTCTTAAAAATATCTTGAATGGTTTCAATAAAACAGAGCTAAACATTAATTTAAGAAAAGTGAGGTCAAGGTCAAAATAAAGGTCAAGGTCAAAAAAATGTTGATGCAATTGAATAGCTTACATCAGTATGTATCAACATATGAAGTTTGATTACACTATCTTGAATGGTATCTTTAAAACTGAGCTAAACACTAATTTAAGAAAAGTGAGGTCAAGGTCAAAGGAAAGGTCAAGGTCAAAAAATGTTGACGCAGTTGCATAGCCCTCATCAATATCTATCAGCATATGAAGTTTGATAAAAATATCTTGGATAGTTTCTTTGAAACTGAGCTTTGAACAGAGCTAAACGTAAAGTGTGACGGAAGGACAGACGGAAGGACGGAAGGACAGAAGGACGGAAGGACGGAAGACGGACATGACAAACACTATATGCCCCGGCCATATTCATGGCGGGGCATAAAAACCTAGTGTAATCAGATCAAACAAAACCTAGTGTAATCAGATCAAACAATACCTAGTGTAATCAGATCAAACAATATCTAGTATAATCAGATCAAACAATACCTATTATAATCAGATCAAACAATACCTAATGTAATCAGATCAAACTATACCTAGCGTAATCACATCAAACAATACCTAGTGTAATCAGATAAAATAATACCTAGTGTAATCAGATCAAACAATACCTAGTGTAATCAGATCAAACAATACCTAGTGTAATCAGATCAAAGAATAACTAGTGTAATCAGGTCAAACAATACCTAGTGTAATCAGGTCAAACAATACCTCGTGTAATCAGATCAAACAATACCCAGCGTAATCAGATCAAACAATACCTAGTGTAATCAGATCAAACAATACCTATTATAATCAGATCAAACAATACCTAGTGTAATCAGGTCAAACAATACCTAGTGTAATCAGATCAAACAATACCTAGTGTAATAAAATAAAACAAAACCTAGTGTAATAATAAAAAAAAAAACAATACCTAGATAAAATAACACCTAGCGTAATCAGATCACACAATACCTAGTATAATCAGATCAAACAATACCTAGTGTAATCAGATCAAACAAAACCTAGTATAATCAGATCAAACAATACCTAGTATATTCAGATCAAACAATACCTAGTATTATCAGATCAAACAATACTTAGTGTAATCAGATCAAACAATACTTAGTGTAATCAGATCAAACAATACCTAGTGTAATCAGATAAAACAATACCTAGTGTAATAAAATAAAACAAAACCTAGTGTAATAATAATAAAAAAACAATACCTAGTGTAATCAGATAAAATAACACCTAGCGTAATCAGATCAAACAATACCTAGTATAATCAGATCAAACAATACCTAGTGTAATCAGATTAAACAATACATAGTGTAATCAGATCAAACAATACCTAGTATAATCAGATCAAACAATACCTAGTGTAATCAGATTAAACAATACATAGTGTAATCAGATCAAACAATACCTAGTGTAATCAGATAAAACAATACCTAGTGAAATCAGATCAAACAATATCTAGTGTAATCAGATAAAACAATACCTAGTATAATCAGATAAAACAAGACCTAGTGTAATCAGATCCAACAATACCTAGATCAGATCAAACAATACCTAGTGTAATCAGATCAAACAATACCTAGATCAGATCAAACAATACCTAGTGTAATCAGATCACACAATACCTAGATCAGATCAAACAATACCTAGTGTAATCAGATAAAATAATCATGATAATACCTAGTGTAATCAGATCAAACAATACCTAGTGTAATCAGATCACACAATACCTAGTGTAATCAGATCAAACAATACCTAGTGTAATCAGATCAAACAATACCTAGATCAGATAAAACAATACTTAGTATACTCAGATCAAACAATACCTAGTGTAATCATATCAAACAATACCTAGTGTTTCCAATTCTTCCTCCACCTTATGTATGTTTCTTTCTTGGCTCTCTATATAATCCTCCATTTCACTCAGGTATTTGACCATTTTCTCATCATTTTCTTTTAAACTGACTTCCTCTTCTTTCATTTTTATCAGTTTTTCCTGAAGATTATGAATCAAAATAAAGTACAGTGTATTACCTTTCTTGAATTTTGTCGAAGTAGAGACTGACAGTGTGACTCATGTTTAACTTGTCAGTAAATGTCTAATAAAACAATACCAAATTCTTGTTAGTACAGCTTGCAGATCTGCTGTTCTTGAGAAAATTTTCTAAAGATTTTTTTCTACAAATCAGAAATATATACATCATAAAAACTTTTTATATGACTCGATAAAGTGGCCCAAACCTGGCCAGGGACCATGATTTGAACAAAACTTATTCTAAACTGCAAGGGGATGCTTTTATAATTAGTATTTTTTAGGTCTGATATATTGTTAACATTATGTAGCCCTGCTTTTCTTAAGATTAAGATTTCTGAAGATTCTCTCTAACTATTACATGTACATGTATATAAGATTTAAGCATTCTACTGTGGTCACACTCCGGCCCCACGGGTCATGACTTGAACAAATTTGAAACTTGCATATGACTGTTTGTGGCTCTATTGTTCTTCATCCATTTTTTTCCCTTATTGATTCCTAATTAAAATTTTTATCCTGTGTGGCCCCACTCTAGCCCAAGGAACTATTAATTGAATACTCACATCCCATTGACCTATTGTAACATTAAAAAATCGTGATTTTTTTAAGGTGTGGCTAGACTCTACTGATATCACTCAACCAATCCTTAAGTATTGCAAATTACAGCCATGGACAATTTTTCATGAAACTATGGTCCTGGAAATGAAATGCACACATTATTATCCAAAATCACCGTATAGTCTTCTATTTAAAATCAGTGGCATCATTTAACTTCAAGCTGATGTGACTAAGATGCATCAATTAAGTTTGATGATTCTAAGCCAATTAATACCTAAAATATTTTTAAAATTATAACCATAAAATTTCAAAAGTAGGTCACAGTGACCTACTTTTCAGATGACATACTTTGAGGACCCAAGATGCATCAACTGACAAAGTTTGATGATTCTAAGCCAAGAAGTACCTGATATATTTAAATAAAGCCATAAAATTTCAAAAAATAGGTCACAGTGACCTCCTTTTCAGTAGACTAGCTCTGCAGACCCAAGATGCATCAACTGAAAAAAGTTTGATGATTCTAAGCCAATTAGTTCCTGAAATATTTAATTAAAGCCATAAATTTTCAAAAGTAGGTCACGGTGACCTACTTTTCAGATGACTTACTCTGAAGGACCCAAAATGCATCAACTGACAAAGTTTATTGATTCTAAGCCAATTAGTACCCAAAATATTTAATTACAGCCATAAATGTTCAAAAGTAGGTTGTGGTGACTTATTTTTCAGTAAACCTACACCGAAGACCCAAGATGCATCAACTGACAAAGTTTGATCATTCTAAGCCAGTTAGTACCTAAAATATTTAATTATAGTCATATAAATTGAAAGTAGGTCACGGTGACCTACTTTTCAGTTGACGTTTTTTGAGAACCCAATATGCATCAACTTACAAAGTTTTATGATCATAGGCCTTAAAATGTCCAAATTATGCCTCTAAAATGCTTTAAAATGGCCATAGCATTAGCTTTTTCAGCCTTTGGCTCAGAAGAGCTAAAAAACAATCCTGAAATTTTGATTGCACTTTAGTGCTGCTGCAAATCGGAGTATTATGAGTTCATTCTGGTAAAATACTGTAAACCAACTTTTATTCGCGTGCGAGAAATATCCACAAGTTTCGTGACCTACTTTAACTCGCGAGTATTAATCGCCACGAACCATTTACATGTATTTTGCTTTGTATTTGTAGAGAATGTTTCCTCAGTCGCGAAAAATTAATCGTCGTGGGTTGATTTCAAATGGACTAATCACAAATAAAAGATGACATGAATAATAGTTTGTTTACAGTATGTAAATATGTTTTAGACTACCTGAGATCCTTGAATTTCTTCTTCCATAGCTTCTAACTCTTTTTCCAGTTGCTTGTTTTCACCATCCAAGTTTTCTAAACCATCACTTATACCATAAAGTTTTTGACCTTGGAGAAACAAATTATTCATACAACAACAGAAAATAGTTATACAAGCATAGCCAGCATCTATGAGCAATACCTATAATGTCAACAATAGAAACTTATATTTCATAAAATAAATATCCATTAATTTAGCATTTATACTTTATTTATATATGATTGACATAGCAAATACATGTATGTACATGTATTTATACAGTTGGTTTTTGTAATTAACTTAAAGCTCAGGGATTCATTAGGCCAAATAAAAAAATATGTGTGGTTCCGGTTACCCGACCTTCCTTATTTTATACCCCCGACCCTAAACTTTTTTTTTTGCAATTTTCATATTTTTTCCGGAAATTCCCCCAATTTCCATCAATGGCTCCAGTTTAAGTTTTAGTTTCAGCAATGACGGCCTCCTTACAAAACATAGTGCAAGTGTTTAATAGTGTAAAATCCACAGCAAGCTTGCATGTAGGTGTCCACTACCAATATTGACTAGCATATTATCACACCACATCTAAATGCCATTTGCAAAGCAGTGATAGGTATTATTTATAAAAAATTAAGAAAATCATTTTGTTAAAAAAAAAAAAAAAAAAAAAAAAAAAAAAAATCCCTACCTACCTACCCTAATTTTTTTGGAAGTGTAACCGGAACCACACATATTTTTTTGTTTGGCCTTACTCTTATTTAAGAGATTTATTTATCAATACCTAATATAAATTTTTCAGTAGCATGAAAGACAATATTTTTGAAAAGAAAAAAAATGCACATGTATCAGAAACATTCAGCAATACCCTGGAAAAAAAAAGAGTAATTTTTTTTATTCTCTGGATAATCCCCCTCCCCTTTTTTGGTAAACAGATGTTTGAAAAAAAGAGGTCTGCCCTAAACTGACAGCACTACAGTACCATATATTGTAGGTTTTCAAGTGATGTCAATGAATTTGAATTGATACATGTACATGTGACTTCAAACTGATCAAAGCAATCAAAATTTCATATCGTCAAATTGTTAATATCCTGCAATCCAGTCATATATTCTGAAGTGGGTTTTTCCCCCTTAAACATTTTTTAAGAGAGAAAGGTACCATGTTTAAAACTAGACCTAATACAGAAGTATTAGATTCCTTACTAAGATGATGAGAAAGATGTTCATCATAATCTTCAAAGGTGTCATATCCCTCCATATACGCTGCATATGTTTTCTCTACATAATCATACAAAATCTAAAATAATAAAATTTAACATTCTGAAAAAAAGTCTGTGGGATTCAGGTGTACACTTTGGCATTATTTTGCAGACAAATATTTAACACTAAAAGAAAAAGTTCTCTCATCTCAAGTTTAGGAATGTGTATGATTATTACACAATTATTCTTTTTTTTTATTTTACTATCAACATTTTTTATTTACCATGTTTACATTGGTATTCTGAGTCCCTAAACATTCCAAGGAGTAAATATTAATCATCCACACAAAGTCAGGGGTCCTGTGTCAACTTGTTACCGTTGGACCCGACAAATTTCATTTGATATCTTGCGGGCTGACTGCAGCAACATCTTTCAGGAAAATTATAAATCTTAATTGTTTTTCTTATCTCTCAACCAATATCACAGTAAGTCTTTTGGTGATAAACAATGCATAACACATGCATTCTAGGTGTCAACTGATTCCTCTCTGTTTACATTATCTGTCTACTTCAATTTGATTGGTGCTTCTCAATGAGAGAAGCAAGCCCAAAAATACTGAATGAAATTTGTCAGGACAGTTCCAACAGCAACGGGTTGACACAGGACCCCTGACGTTTTGAGAATGAGACTAATGTGCAAGAAAATGACCAGACTTACACATGTACTAGGTAATGTGCAGTATAATTACATTAAATTCAGTGGTTTACTGCGGTATTAATCTGCAGTTAAATCTTATACGACTTACACTGATTATATAAAAAATGGTGAGACAAAATCATAAACCTGTGCCTCTGGCAAGGAATCAAATTCATCTTCATTTGGTGGGAACAGAAAACTGTCAATGGATATTCCAACCTGCATACCAAACTAAAAACAAAACACGCAAAAAAATTGGGAGATATTGTTTATCTTATTTCAAAAATCGGTTTATTATAAAAGAACATGTTATACCTGGATTAGATCTACCATCCAAACAAGAGCTGCTAAGATTGTGGGCCAAGTATGAGGGGTACCAAGAGCAAACATAGAAGTTTTGGATATCATAAATGGGTAGCCCAATTCCTTGAAGATTTTGGGGATTTCTTCCTCTGGTTTCTTTCCAATCCTGTACCTTGGTGTTAACATGCTATACAAAAACTTAAAAAAAAAAACCCAACTTACAACAGTTTTATAATTCTATACACATTTTAAATTTTACAACAATTACTAAGGAATAATTTAGGATTTCTTGAAAGGAGGTTCATGTTAAATTTCATAATTTATCTGAACTTCACAAAATTTTTTTGACAATACAGTAAAACCTGTATTAAGCGACCTGTTAAGGGAAATTCTAGCATGGTCACATATGACAGGTAGACTCTTTAATCAAGGAATCATATTCTAGATATTTTCAAAGTACATGCATGAATACTAAATAGTAAAACATGTTCTTGTTTACTTTTTTCTTGTTCCCTGTCCTTCATTATAGTTTTAAATCATTTTCACTCTTCTTGATAATTAAAATATATTCAATATTAAAATATTTGTTTGTACAAATTGTTTTTTTTTCTGATTTTTAAACCATAAATTTATTTTTTAAAAAGAAAATTGAAAACCAGGTTTGTTTTTATTGTCTTTCATACTTTAGCAATAGTGTTAAGGATAAAATCTTATCATGACAATGCAAGGGAAAAACGAAATAGTATGATAATCACAAATAACGCAAGAACCATGCATAGAGGCATACAAAATTTAAAATGTTTCTTATCTTAAAAAGATTCCATTTCATACAAAGTAACACCATGAAATATATCATAATGAGTATATTTTTGCAAACATCTTTCTACAAAATGGGGGCAAGGACCAAAGTAAGCATTTTATGACTTTGGTTATCCAAAGCAGGGATGAAAGCTGCTAAATGCAGGGTCTTAAACTGTTCTGGGAAGAAAAATTATGGCTGCATGTCATGTTTAACTGGGAGTCACGCAGTTCATATAAAATACAATGAAAATATCACAGGAGTAAATTTAATGGTCATGTATGACAGGATGTTGCTAAAAAAGGTGGTCATTATGACAGATTTGACTGTATTTAGTGTCTATTTATAGTTATAAATCTTTTTTATTCAAAGAACTTTACCTCAAAGATTTGAAAAAAATCTTTCCTAGGAGGTGCTTTAAGTATCTCTGGCGATAACTTGTAAGGGTATCCTTTTTCTGTTAAAAACTGAAATACAATGTAAATTATCTGATTAGGAAATAGGATATTGTCCAAATAAAAATAATATCTAATAGAACACAAAAATCTTAATTTTAAAAAATGAATTATGGTGGGTTCCTACTTCACATATTTTTTGGTAAATGTAGTGTTTTCTTCCTTGGAATCATTAGAATAACATCTTAGGTAATTAAAAAGCCCAAAATATACTGTAAGCATATTACATTTGGTTGTGTATTCTTTTTAGTACCTTTGGTGGAAAGCAACTTCAGCTTATTTCAGTATAACACTAAATGTCTTGCACATATCCTCATATATAAGAACATTAAGAAATGCCCTAAATCAAATCTATGCTAACTTGTTCAAAAATAATTTCCGCTAAATATCGTCCAGGTTAAATATAATACCACAGACAAGTAGAGAGCTGAGTGGCGAAGTCTTGTGTTGACCTTATGTTCCACTGGGAGTGAAGAGGATTGGTAGGTAGGTAAATATAATACATTTACATTACATGTATTGACTAACCAGATTTTCAAGGGGACATGTTCCCCTTCTTTCATCACACGATTTCAACCAACGTCAATAGTTCTCCATACAGTATAAAACAGTCTATGCGAAAGACATCGGACCGTCGGACTTGACCGATGTGCAGTGCCTCTGATCCGATGCGTCATTTTTTACACCGGACCAGAATGTCCAATGTCTCAGCGTCCGGTTTTGAGCTTTATTATTTTGACGCGGAGACTCCGAGTCATTCAAATGTTTGTTATAAGTAGAAAAATATCACACAAATCCAAATACATAAATGAATGTTATTAAAACTGCATGGACCGTCTACAGAAATAAGATTTCCTTGGTTCTGCATTTCACTTTTTTACATTAGGTTTTTCGGTCTGACAAAATTTGGTTCGGTCCTGTGTATTCATTGATTACACAGGACCGAATGTCCTGTGTGGTCCAAAAAACTTTCGCATAGACTGTATAAAAGCAAATTAACTTCCAAATTTATTCACTAATTAAATATTAGGTTAGAAATTCATAATAATTGTCACTGTAATTTTTTCATTGACAAATATGAAAATTGAATGGGAAGTGTATGAAGTACATGTATTGAATTCAACCATTGAGCTTAATATAAGGCTAGTCGTGACCCTGTGCATGGGGGTCGTGACCTTGCTGAGAGTGCAACAAGGCCAGCCATTACACAGGATGCTTGGCAATTGTTACTGAACTGTTCAAAATTATTATAAAGTTAGATGTTTCTGGGTATATTTTCATTATTGAGTGGTTAACCATCTTATTTTTCTCTATTTAGAATTTTAGATTTAGTTCTCAAGCATTTAAAAAGCTACAACAATGTTGTAATTCACAGGCCTTTTCTCTCATGTATACCCCAATATTAATCAATCAACTTTAACTTGAAAAACATGTCATTGAGACATATGTGTATTTCTTAAAAAAATACCTAACTTTCTTCATGTTCTTCATTTGGTTGCTTTGAAAAATAAAAGAAATCATTATTTAAAGAAAAAAAAAATGTAACATAAATTTTGTTATTTTGTACATCTATTTACTGTATGAACATTACACGTGTATGTCAGACCAAGGGTTTAATATATGTATATTTGTACTATCACCTGAGTGAGCACTGTAAAAATAATTTTTTAAAAACATAAATCTTCACCTCCACCAGTTTTGTGACACACTTGGCCTGAAAGTTTCTGTCAGAAATCTTCCTGGGATCTTTGGGGATTCCATTCACCATTGGGACTCCCATGTGACTACTCCTCCTCAACCTAGTAATATGTTGAAAGGTCATTGTAAAATATGTACAGTACTGTTAAAACTAATCCAATATTCCTCTGACACTAACCCCTGTTTTTACATTGAGACATAAGATTTCTCTGGCTCTAAATTCACTCTGACGTTGTGACATATGCGGGGGAGGAGGCACATGTCACAATGTTAATTTAGGGGTTAGAGTCAGAGGAATCTAAGATTATGCTAAAACAAGTACATTTCTACATGAAGTATGTGTGGGTTGTTCAGTTTCATTAACAACATCCACTTCAATATTACATATGCATACTGGTTTGCTGTGAGAGAATCAAAACTATATTTTATAACAAATGTTAGTAAGTGATTTTTTTTTCTGTACATTTCACAATCATATCCAATATTAAGTGCTTAAAAGTGAAGAATCTACCCTTTATTTGGGGTTTTACTAGCGAGTCGGTCCCCATGACCTCCTATAGAATTTCTGTAGTCCATTGATGGTCTCCCACTAAATCCATAGTTTGTATGCTTTGTTTTCTTTGAGGAGGTTGGGATCTTAGAATTATCCTCATTTCTAACCCTCAGTGGAGCAGCGCCACCTACTGAGGGTCTTCCTCCTACAGATGGTCTGGATGCTGAGGATGTTCTCTTGCTAGCACTGCTATAGTGGGAGGTGGACGATCGTCCCAAAGAAGAAGATCTCCTCATGACAGCTAAAATATATACAATATTAGATCTCGTAATGATGACACCTAAAATACAATATTAAAATAGGCCTCGTAATCACAGCTGTATCCTGGTGAAGTCTGATTTCGAGTACAGTCATTTAGGGTATCCTTTTACATTTTTTAAATTGGTTATGTGGTATTTATGGAAAGCCAATTTTATGACAAAACAGATCACATTATGAAGTCTTTACTCTGATTCAACATTTCCTGTTCAAGAAAAGCTAATTAAATATATGAAAAAAAAAACAATATACAAGCATCATAACTTTGTCTGTTTGCTGGTACATACCACTACAATATGACAATGATCACCATGTTTTGTTTACAAATTCATACAAACTTCCGCTTTCGCGCCTCCTTATAATACGCATGCGCTTCACAATATACAGAAGTGAAACGAAAACGTGCATATTTCCGTATAGACCTATATAGCTCTTACCTCATTGTAATTAAAACAATTAAGAACCAGAAAATTCTAGTATTTGCCTTTAAAGAAAAAAATATCCAGAAAAGGCAATAGTGGCAGATATAGGGGAGGGACACACCTGCACCCCCATTCAAAATTACTAAATACATAATTCCCATTTTTTCCCAATCTGATTAAAATCAGATCTTTGTTGCGCTCCGAAATTCTGATTGTCGCTGTACAAAGACCATCAGAATTTCGGAGCGTAACAAAGATCTGATTTTAATCAGATTGCATTTTTTCCCCAGCATATTCTTAATAATTTTGAGTTTATGATGTCATTAACTTTATTACATAGTAAATATATTTGTGTCGTAATATATTCAACGTAAAAAGTTTGATTTTCAGTAAATAAATTTTAATAAGTCATTGTATTTAAAAAAATAACTGTATAGTCAAATGCTATGGTTTTGGCCGTACATTAAGTACATATCAGCCTAGGTAGTTCAGTGGTTAGAGCATCCGACCAGTGATGCTAGGGTCCCGGGTTCGATTCATTGTCCATGCAGTCATACATTTTTTCCTTTCCTGTTTCATATTTGTAAATGAAATCCACCAACTAATCCCTCACTAGAACTGAGGCGTATATCGGTTTAAATGATACGAAGGCTGTGGATATATCATCCATATCTGAAGTAAAAACTTTGACATCCTGATCGATCACTATCTTTGTACATGTACGTGTTAATTTATTAACAATACCTGAGATTTTCAATGGAAATTTGATTTTGATGTTTAAAAGACTATGCAAACCAGGGCTAAAAGTTTTGGAATTGATACTTCAAACTTTTCGCCAAGAAGAAAAATTACAACTTGTTTGAAATTGATTGGATATAACACCCTAAAATACAAGAGGAGTCCTTCCATTTCTTTATCCCAGTTGACTCGATACACAAGAGCAAGTTCCATATGTCAGAGCAATTTCTAAAACGAGACAGGCTATTAACAAATAAGTTGATGATACACGGATATCAACAATATCGTTTAAAGTCAAGATTTTGCAAATTCTATGGTCGATCCAATTTGACCTTGTTTGCAAATACAATCTCTTGTTAAGTCGAATGTTGACTGAAGTCTTTCATACAAATTGTCAGGCCATCATTTTCACAATGAATTGTTTACGGATTTTCCGTTTACCTGATCATGCCAAGGAAGGGGGGGGGGGGGGACTGGTCGACAGGGGATGTGTACTCCTCCATGGCATCTGATCCCACCTCTTTTTCAGAAGTCTGTATTGTTCTCTGCTCATAATTTGTATTATTTTAAAAATCGACTTTTGAGAATGATCATGTTCGTTATCTTCACATTTCATTTTCATACTGTACCGTATTTAAGTCAATACGACTACAGCGACTTATATACATCGAGCTATAATATAGCAAATAGAATTTGCAAATCAAGACAACACCTTGATCTCTGAAGGCTGTAATCATGCAGGAACATCACTCACAAATCGCAATGAGGTCTTATTTGCCAACAAGATACAACCTTGACGTTTAAGGCGTGACATTGGATCAGGACATAACATGCCACAAAATCAAGAACATCTATACTACATAAGAAAATGTAGCTACATATATTCTAATTTCTTGTTTAGAGATTTGGTACGAACTATATTTTTGACTTAACTTCACCAGTGTCCCTAACCCTCGAAATATGGCCTTCCATCTATGTCCAGATCACTTTATCAATTCGATATTGTCGATATCGCAATGCAAACAATGTTGACACAATATAGTGTTTACATCATCTACATTGTTAGTATTTCTATGTTGACGTTGTCAACATCGCAACGCACGATATCGTGATAACATCGTATACATTGTTTTTATTCACTATTTTGACATCATCCTCGTTGATGCGATATCGAGTTTGCATTGTCTACATTGTTATTTTTCTACATTCTATGTCGACATCAATTATATATTTTTTATGTCTACATCGTCAACATCGCAATGTAAACAATGTTGAATTGATACTGAGTTTACATCGTCCAACGTTGCGATAACGATGATGTGAACGATAACAAGAAAAAGGATTCAATGTCAACACGATGTCGACTCGATATCGTCCAACATTGCGATGTCGACAAAATGAACGATATAAACAGGATAAAAGAAGGCAATGTTGATACAACAAAATGTCGACTCGTTATCGCCCAACATTGCAATGTCGACGAAGTGAAAGATGTAAAGAAGAAAACATATGCAATGTTGACAAGATGTCCTCTCGATATCGTTTAACATTGCAATAGATATAAATAAAGATATTGTCCACCATAACTATATCAACTATGTAATCAGAATAAGAGAATGCAATGTTGACATGATTTGGACTTGATGTCATCCAACACTGGGGTGTTGAAATATACTAGTAGTTAACAATGCTACTTGAATGAGGAGCAATGTGTATAAATGTGTGTTATGAATTGGGAGGTGTATATATAGCGATGTCGACAATATCAGTAAAACATCGTGCACTTGACTTACCAAGTGCGCGATGTTTTACTGATATTGTCGACATCGCTATATATACACCTCCCAATTCATTTTACCCACAATTCACCCATTTTATCGATATTGTCAACATCGTCGCAAACTACGGTCTCCCTCAAAAACCTCAAATTCGAGCATCACTCGGCATTTTCTGCATTTTTTTCCGATTTGACAGAAATGACTGAGTGATGATCCATTTGCCTTTAGATTTGGTTAAAATCTTGTGTGTTGTAGCAAAATCTATGACTTGCAATGGCATCCTTTTTTTTACACATACCCTGTAGCATCCTTGCATACATGGGTGTTCTATAACGCAGTAAAACAAATTGATAAATTACTCATTTATTTAGGTAGATTATTTTCGTCGCCAAACGTCAACGTGGTACAATGTAAAACTAACCAATGATATTAGTTCCCGTGGTAATTCTAAAATAAAAAAGAATATTATTAGTTTTATGTATATATGAAGAATAATTCAATTTTCTGTTGCATATGTAAATTAACAAAGATTGTGTCCTTTCTGACATAATTTATTTTGTCGAGTAAACTCTGTAGAAATAAACATGATAAAGTCATATTGACAAAATAAAACAAGTTGAAAAAGGACTGCAGACAAGATGAGATCCAGGGTGAAGTTAACCAAACCACTGCTCTCAAGGCTTCAGTTCTCCACTATGTTACTAAAAAATATAAAACCTAGACGTACCATAAGGGGCCTATAACTGGTCACTTCACTCTGTGTCATACTCGTATCTTAAGTTAGAAAACATTCAAGATTATATTAGAATACCTTTTTGATTTTTTGACTACTAGTATTCTTTTAAGTTAAAAAAAAATATCACACAGGCCGAGACGCATTTTTAGTACATGAAACTATATATAGTTAAACATGTTAAAGTCAATGTATCACGGATTTGCACAGCATTAAAAATACATTGAACGTTGATATTAAGTAGAGATGGCTAGTGTTTTGAAGAAATATTCAAATCTTTGGGCATAATTTCTTATAAAAAGTAAGCAAGCCTCGAAGTTTCAAGAATATTATTATATTTGCTCGAGTAATCTTTCGCTACGCACCTTATTGTGAACCAAGATTCCAATATGTAGAATATCCTAGCTAATCCTACAACCCGACAAATTATCCTATGTAACTTTAACCCTAACCCTAACCAAACGGCAACAGTAAGATCGAAACATAATAACATATTATGTGCAATCTTAGGTTCCGACAAATCATCCTACGTAACTTTAACCCTCCCTAACCACGCGGCAACAGTAAGACCGAAATATAATATCATATTATGTGCTACATTGTAGCTGCCTAAGGTTCCGACAAATTACCCTACGTAACTTTAACCCTATAGCATACGGCAACAGGACTTAAACATAATAACATCTTAGTTCAGACAAATTATCCCATGTAACTTTAACTCTAACCATACGGCAACAGATGGACCCAAACATAATAACGTATTATGTGCTATCTTAGGTTCCGACAAATTCATTCGTGCCGGGGGTGGATTACTTCAAGATCTTGAAAATACAAGCCCAAGCAGTTTTAGTTTTGCGTCATTTATTAACGTAGGTCGCGGGTTTGCAGGCCTTTTAAAAGTGTCCGAAAACATACCATGAAAATTAGTTATATGATTTCTCTACCTTTGTTTTACATTCTCGGAAAGTTTTATAAAATTCGTCTGCATCGTTTTTAAGTAATTAAATCCCAAAGATGCCATTGTTGTAGTAACATTTTCGACGTTATTGTATTGAATTATATAGGAAAAACGTCGATTTCGGCTCGTTTTCAGGCAAGATTTTTTTTCGAAAAGTATCATTAACTTTTAAATGGTGCAGACGAAATTGTTCCCCATTTGGTATCTTAAAATAGAATTGATTTGAAATAAATCTATGTGAAAAAATTAATATGTCTTCGGGTTTGTTTTCTCGTAATTTGAATGTAGATAATTGCTTTTATATCGCAAAATTTAACATTTTTAAGAACTACGTCATAAAATATCGCGACGTCACGCTTGACGTCGTGAATATCGATCCTGTATACAGAGCAGAAAAACAAATTAAAATATTTTTAATCCACGTCTGTCTGCTTTCATACGACCCACGAATCGTATCATAATAATTCAATAGCAATGAAATGGTTATTAGACATGCATCTCTTCTTATATTCCTTGTACGTCTCATCACAGGAGTCGGCAGTTTTATCCATAAAACAATGTAAACAACAACCAGTGAGCTTCGCGAGCGAAGCGAAGCTCACTGGTTGTTGTTTACGTTGTTTTATGGATAAAATTGCCGACTCCTGTGGTCTCATATTAGTGAAAATTATCTCAAGGGACGTAAAACGACA